TGGTGCATCCTTTTCACACTATCTAAGCGTAGCTGTTGCATTGATACCTCCATCGGTGGTTTCCATTTATGGGTCCCCAGGTATCGATAGACTTCAATTTCCAGAAGCCTCAGCCAATAGAGCCCATGATCAGGTACAGCGGTGCTTCGCTTAACGGGCGCAAACTGTCCACATGAAACCGCATACCGACAAACTTTTTGTGATCGCTTTTGCGATCGCTTTGCGATGTTCCCTATGGGGAAAAATCGCTTTGCGATGATCGGTACCCTGTTTCGCTTACCGATCATTGCAAAGCAATGATTTTTAACAGCTGATAAGCTTGCAAAGCAATGATTTTTTAACAGCTGATGAGCTGTTCCCAAATGGCCACTGGGTAAACAAAATGGCCGCCCACTGTGTTGCCTCGCTTTAGAGGCACCAAAAATGGCCGCTGCAATGGAGGATTTTCACTTAAGGTTAGTTTTCAAGCCCATAGGAATGCATTAAAGAGGTTTTAATGCATTTCTATGGGCTTTTTAAGATTGCTTAACGATGTTTTCGGTTAGCAGCGATTTTTGCTGCATGGATTAACATCGCTAAGCAAGGCATCACTGTATTTAGGAAGCTGTAGTCCCACAGCATCTGAGAATCCAAAACAGGGAGCCACTTTTTGAGGTGATGGCCCTAACCAAGGCATACCAACATCTCACCTACCTCCCCTGTGGACACTGAAAAAGACTACCTTTCTATTCCTAGAGTGAGAAGAAGCTGTTCATGGTCCAAATTGATCCCCATTAGCCCATTGCCCACGACTAGTTAGAACAATGGTTCCCAACCTTAGGTCTCCAGATGTTCCTGCATTAAAACTCCCAGAAGCCTTCACCACTAGCTGTGCTGGCCAGGATTTCTGAAAATTTTAGTCCAAGAACATCTGGGGACCCAAGGTTGGAAACCACCGAGTGAGAAGGACATAATGGCCCCTTTGCTATGAGAGCTTCACTAGCTACCAATGTGTTTCATGGTTAACTCAATGCCCGTTAGGCTCTATTGAAGATGCCTTCTATACAAAATTGCTACCCATGAAACCTTCAAACTCCCAAAGAACACCAGGGCAGTTTCCTTGTTTTTCAAAAGAGAAGCAAGTGGATGAGAGGAACAGGAAACAAGAACCCCCCAAACCCTTCCTGGTTCACCAAATCTCCAAGGCCAGTGGTGTTATAACTTGTTTCAAGGCTAGGATTGCTCGGAAGCTCATTGGGGTTCTTCAGAGAGACAGCTAATCAGCACATATCATGAAAGCAATGTTGTTGATGTGTGGTGTTGTGATGCTCTTGTTGTTTCAACAGCAGCTTCCTGTCATTTCAGTGACTGGCCGAATGCTTTCATAGATGGCAGCCCACCTCATGAGATGCATCACAACATGAGCTGATCCAGGGCCGCGGAAGTGTCTGACAAAGCGTGCTATAGTCCATGAAATGTGCTAAGTAAAACTTGCTAGCTTTCAAGGTGTTACAGAACTCCTTCTCATAATCAACTAAACCTTTCTAGCTTGGCTCCCAGCATTGAAAAATACAGCCTGCAAAAGGTCAACAAACTCTACCCAGCCACAAGGAGCGGTGATCACTACACACAAAAGACCAGCTAATGACACTCGTCAATCACAGTGACAGGTAATCTCTCCTCCTTATCACAACAATACACCCACAACAAAAACACACTGATCACCATAATCACCCATCTCCTGAAAAGGACAAAAGCTGATCCCACAGCTATAAATACTCCACTCCCAAACAAACTTCACCAGAGCACAGAGTGCTACTCCAGTCCTCTGAAGATGCCGGCCACAGAGACTGGCAAAATGTTAGGAAGTACAACATTCAGAGCCCCAAAAACCCACAACAACCATTAAACCTTGCTAGTTTTTTCCCCTTTAATTTTCAATTGCCCATCACCATGAGGAGTCCATCAGAAAGGAGGCACCAACAATATCAAAAATAAATGAAGAGGAAAGTTGCCCTTTTACTGGACCATCTCCAGAACTTGCCATCAGAAGAGAATGGGGCTAGGTTTGCTCTAGATCATATTTCTGTTTTATGAGCGGTTTCAGTTTAGGGGGAACAGATCTCGCCTTGCGAACTTGGTGCATTTTGTAGCATATGCACAAGTCTTCCTTGAAGGGTTAGTTTATTTGGAAATGATTGCGTCTCGACAGGAGACAAAGCCGCTGCTTTGAATTCTATACATCAATGGTGCGATTTCGTTTCCCTCTCCTCTGCTTTAATAACGTTTTATATTATGTTTTCTAAAGGCATATACACCCGTAGAAAAAGGGCTGGCAGGAGAGATTCTGATGCTATCAATTTGAGCCAGTTTTATAATAATCTGCTTATTATGTTACATGTGGTGTAAATCAAAGAAGATGTTTTATTATTATTATTCTTCGCCAGCTTGATCACCTCCAGGAAACGGGAAAAAGGGGAGAAAAATGCTGTACGTCTTTTTAAAAAGAGAAAGAAAGAAAGGAAAACAACAGTAGCAGAAGCTTTGAATTTCATCCGGCCCTCTTATACGTCTCTTCGAATTACTGGAGAGGTTTAAAGATGAGCGTCTGGCTAATTACCATCCTCGGTTTGTATCCTGAACTTCCCGGAGGGAATAAAGAAAAAAAAATGCTTTCGAGGCTTCAATCCGCCATTCTCATTAGTGAATTTTTAATCTACATTTAGAGGCTTAGAACTTCTCTGGGTTTTTTTCTTCCTCCCCTTCAAATCCTCGCAGTGTAACTGCTAATGTAGGACGCTGACCCTTAAAACAATCAGCGTTTAAGCAGCGGCTTATTATTTGGGTTTCTTGTTGTGACAGAGAGTTTGCGGAAATAATCACACTTAATGCTTGCGTGCTTCGCAGCAACGGGAAAGTCCCTGTTTTCCATCCCAGAGCCCAATTCAGCCTCAGAGATGTTCTGAATCCACGTTCCCGTGGTGAGCCAGAAAGCAAGACAAAAAGGCAGAGCCCAAAAATGCCAGCCTATTTCAGCTTAAACGTCTTGTTGTGGAATGAAGGCTTGAGAGAAGTATTGTGTGAAAGAGTACACCGAGGACACAAAAGCTGACGAACCACTCCAGCAAACCAGGAAGGGGTCCAGAACTGGAGATCTCCAACTTCTGTTGAACAGAAAGCGTTCCTGTCCCTATTTTACCAAAAAAGAATTCGTGCAGCGACACTACGAATTTCCTTTCTTATGTTGAGGGACCCTATTTTACCAAAAAAGAATTCGTGCAGTGACACTACGAATTTCTTTTCTTATGTCGAGGAAATCTTAGAGAAATGCCTACACCAGTGGGTCCAACCTTGGGTCTCCAGATGTTCTTGGACTCCATCTCCCAGAAGCCTTCACCACTAGTTGTCCTGGCCAAGATTTCTGGGAGTCGTAGTCCAAGAACATTTGGGTTACACAAGGTTGGGAACCACTTGCCGTATCGACCGTTGAATCTCAATCTTCTCTGAAACTTGGGATCCCAGAAGTTCTTGGACGACAAGAAATCCTGGCCAGCACCGCTGGTGGGGAAAACTTCTGGGAGTTTTAGTCCAAGAACATCTGGAGACCCAAGGTTGGGAGCCACTGGTGTAGTGGACAAAGTGATAGACTAGGAGATTGAGGTTCAAATCTCCACTCAGCCACGAAAACTCACTGTGGGTGTAAAACTAGTAAAACCAGTCAAGTATCTCATGTACCTTGAAAGCCCTCTTAGGGATGCAAATAAATCACTTCTGACTAGGTAAGTGACTTGAAGTTACTTTATTGGCAGCTGTGATTTTTCCAAAATGAAAGACACCCTTCACTCTTCTGTGGCCTCTGGTGGCTTCATCAGCCTTATGCAGCATAACTGCACAACAGGATTTCATCCAGAGCTGGGAATGTTAATGTTAAAAAGCTATGTTCTAGCTGTTGAATCGCTACTAATTATGCTCTGCTTTACGAACACAGGATCAGTGACACTTTGGCGAAGTTTTAGCTTCTTGTTACTTTCAAAAATTAATTTAAAAAAAACACTTAAAAATACAAAATGGCCAGATCCCGTTCCAAATGACCTCCGTGTAATGTTTTAGAGATAATAAAGAAGCATTTCTCAGTACACACACACACACACAATTAATTGTGAGCTGGCCTGGCTCCCGTTTCAGATAAAACTCACAAACTAATGAGATTCTTTTTCTGAACTCGTCCAATTCAAGTTGACGACCATTGCTACCTCAGATCTGGTCAAAGTTCAGACTCTTATTTTTAGGATGTAATATGCTAGACAGTGCTCATTATTTTTAAAAGCAGCAAATCAGTCTCTTTTTTTAAAAAAATGCCCTGCTCTACGAGAAAAGCTTTCGTGACACCGGTGAAAGGCGACTTCTCTGTCATTTTATCCCCCAAATGGGTTATGGTAAAACAAGCATACCACCAAAATGTTTTTTTAAAAGATCTAAAATGGGCCCTCCAGGAAAAAAAAACAATTGCAAATACTCAATAAGCATTACTTGTTATGCAGACACAAAATTGCTCCTGGAATGATCTTAATAATCATCACTCTTAGAACTGAAGAAATGGAAGGGATCCGATAAATCATCAAGTCCAGCCCCCTGTCAAGGTGGCACAGCAGGGAACTGGACCCTCAATCTCAGACTCCACAACCAAAGACTTAAACCACTGAGCTATCCAGCAAGTAGTCATAAGATATATTTTGAAAAACAATACCATCAACGGATCTCTCTGTATTCCTTAAAGTAACTCACTGCAGATAAGATGGCAACTTCCAATGTGTTATTTCCAGCATCTAGATATGGCACGGGCCAAAACCAGGAGCTCATGATCTCTATGAGTTGAGGGACATCCCAGAACACATGACATTCCCACAAATGGTGACATTGCAAAGGAAGCCATCACCAGACCCAGCCTTTCCAGAAGTGCTCATAACCTGCCCATCTCAGTTTCAAAGCAACTGCCAGAAAGCGGTTGATCACAGACCTACCTTTTTCCCAAGGGCATAAATTTCCTTCGGCAAAATATCACCGCTGGCGCATATTTCCCGGTGTAATCCACACTCTTTTGCACGTCCCACGTGTACGGATTGCTGGCTCTAATACTGAAGACGCTCACCCCTTTCTTCACCTTTGCTCTGCGAGAAACAAGAGATGACGTCACTCATTAGGCAGCTGCGGAAGGATCGCGCAAGCAAGCTGGCAGGATGGGTGCCATTAACAAGAGGTTGTCCGCAATGATCACTAACACGTTCCGCTAACAAGGATACCACCGTTTCATCAAGACCCAACTCGTATAACCTCATCCTTGTTCTTTCTGCCTTGGAAAATAGGTCCACTACAGAAGGTGGTCGCTCTGTGGTAGAGCACATACTGTGGTAGAACATCCTACATTCTCCTCCTGGCATCATGAGGTAGGGCTAAGAAAGGTGTCTGCCTTAAACACACTGGAATACCTTTGCTGGTCTTATAATAAAGGCTAAAACAGAAATATACATCAAGGACTGAGTGCCTCCTGTAAACTTCATGTGAGAGAACTGGACATTTGGACCATTACCATAGGAGTGGAGAACCTAAGGTCCCTCTAGGTGAGGTGTGGGGCAATTCTTCTATGTACCCACCCTTGTTATGAGCCATGAAGTTATCACTAACATATGGTGACCCCATGAATGTCTATCAAAAGGTAGCTATCCTTAACCTGCTCAGCTCTTGCAAACTCAATGCTATGACTTCCTTTCTTGAGTTCATCTCCTGTTTGGTCATCACCTTCCACTGATGCTTCCAAAGTCTGCCAGCATTGTTGTCTTCTCTAGCAATTTGTGATGTGTTTCTCCGCACCCACTATCCTCTTTTAAGCCCAGGGTGGGTAACCGCCTTCCAAAGAAACCTGAAAGTGATCATGGTTTAGGGAGAGGGTCTTGGGGCAATGGGGTGGCCCGCTAAGGCCTGGATGGAGGGTTCTCTCTGGAAGACGGCCAACGGTCTTTGCGTGCCGTAATATCAGGAGAAACCACACCCAGCAACCCCAATGTAAAGCATGCAAAATAAAAGAGAGTGTACGTTTGCACAATTCATGCAGATTGGAAAATCCGGCTTTGCAGCGTGCAGAATTTGGACTGCTTTGGCATATATTTTGATTTTTTTTAAAAAGCAGGTCACATACCGCTCTGAATATAGATGAGGGTTTTTGCAAGTGTCAAACTGAGACGAGATGTCATTATTAGAAAGGAAGACGCATGTGACACAGTCCTCCGAGATATTTTCCAACTTAAACAGTGGGATGAGTGCCAAAGCAGTATAACAAAGGACATTGGGATTACTTTTCCAAGCAATTTGGATTACAAGGCTGGCATATTTCCGATTCTTCTGCCTGCCGACAGCTTCTACCCGTCTGCTGTTGCCACCGCTTGTCTAGAACAATCATCACCCATAGATGAACAAAGCTATTGGCCCCCAGATCTTTCTGTGCCAGAGAACCAGCTCAGGGGCCTTCCGAGAGGGAGAGGGACAAAAATTCGTTCAGTTTGCATTTAGATGCAAATTTTGTCTAATTCTGCATCGTTGAGCAAATGTAGGAACCGAAACTCGATTGCCTTTTGAAAGTCCCATTGCTCCTCATGTCTCAAGGGAGTTCTCCCTCAAAGACAAGGCACACAAAGGTCATACCCGCCTATATCTGTATATTCTTGAAAAGAATGTACAATATATATATTCGGAAAAGTGTGTGCACTGTTGACGACGCACAAAATATGTACAAGTTTTGTACACTTCAAACAAACTTCAAAAAGTTTTTTTTTTTTAAAAAGATCTCGAACTTCTGCTTCAGTATATGAATTGCCAACATGGATAAAATCACATATTTTTAATGTGGGAGAGTGAATACATGTCTACAAACATATATGAACGCACAATATTCATACACACAAACATACACACCCAAGTATATGAAAACCCTTTTGTCTCTATTTTCATTCTCCAAAATACAAACAATTGCACTAGCTGTATTTTCACAGTATTTAGCACAAGGTGTTTTCTATTACACAATTTTACTGTATGTTGTGAATGCCCAGAGAGTGATTGGTTTATTTGAATTTGGATAGTGCTAACTGCTATATTTTAATGTGGGATTTTGTGGATCAGTGGGAGCCTACATGGCAAATGTTTATACATTGATACCTGGCCCCAAAACAAAGAGGCAGTGGTTGGTTAGGAAACACAAGTTGCAAATTGTGTGAGTCAATGTGACATTTCACACGTGGTAATGAACAGTTTTCAGTTCTTTTCTTTTGAAGCTTTGTTTTGTAATGAGCAACAGTGTATAGTAGCTAAAGGAGCCGCAGGCTATAGAAAACAGCAGAAGCAACATATGGTAATGAGCTACTGACTTTACCTTTGAAGCTTGTTCTGTAAAGGTGGTTGTGGTTAGCTGGGAGGGAACCTGAGCTACGAAAAATAACAGCAGATAATAATATAATTATTATAGTATTTCACATTTGGTAATGCCTTAAGAATCCTTGGCTAATATTTAATCAATTGAGATTACTATTGAGCATATGTATATATTTTATCTCAGCTGTCTCCCTCTGAATTCTTCTTCTGTAGTTTTTCTTCTACAGAATAGCAACTTTCAAATCCCATGAACAGTGTACAAGTAGACTGAAATGATCTGAAACAGGTTTGGGTTTATTGCCATTCCTGTGGTCCATTTTTGGTCTGTTACACAGCTCTAGTCAACTACTAAGAACATAATACATACCCCAAATTAATGGTATGTATCAAATACAAGGGCTCTATCTGTAAACTTACTATGCTGAAATGTAAAAATACTAAGATGAGATACAGGATTTGAAGTTTGATCACCACAATGTCCATCCGTCTTAGTTTTCTTCATATAGCTCTTGGAAAAACTGAAACCCGGTTGTCATGTTTGAAACTGTAATAAGGCTAATATTTTTATACATTCTAAGATTCTGGTTCCTCTTACATAACCGGATATCTTAGATGTTACCTGTTCCTTTGGTTATTATCTCAAAGGGTAATGAAATACAGGAACAAAGACTTTTTCACATGCATTTCCATGCACGGATGGACCGATAGATGAAAAGATGACAGACAGAGATGGATAAATTTTCAAGTGCTCCTAAGCCATCAAATTCACAGCTATGGTCTTGATGCTCTCCTGCTAGGTTGATCTGGAATGAATGCTGACATCTGTATGGAAAGATTGACATGGTACCCCTCCCAGTGAGCTTGCTCGCCCTTGACATTTGTAATACCCAACGAAAAAAAAACTGCCGTGTGCAAAGGCCGATTCTGCATTTTTCTATCACGAGGCAAATCTTTTTTTCCCCACTTCTCTCCCCTGAGATGCCAGCATCCAACTGAAGGTTTCTCTCCTCCTCTTCAAGTATTTTTCACCCATCTCATTTAGCTATTTCGAAATAAAGAATCTTGACCTGAACGTTTGCTATTTTTTGAAAAGCTGTGAAAATAAGCAACCATCAGGAAGGGGAACATTAATCAAACGGGTTTTTAAAACGCCATAGACAAATGGAGGGAACATTCTCAAATCCCATGGGAAACCAAATGATCAGACATGCTTGCAGATCATCTGCTTGTATTTAAATCTAAATTAGATGGCTGTTCGCACAAATTAACCAAGGCCTAAGTGCAGTTTCGATGCAAAGACTGATTTATTCTAAGTAGTGGAGTTTTGAGTTGCAGGGTCTTATTTAGAGGGTGCTGAGAACTCTCTTGATCTTTTGAAGATATCAAAATCCATTCTTTGGATTCTGATGGCAAAGGTAACGCCTCAAATGGAAGAGTTAGTGGTGGATCCACCCAGGAAGAGTTTAAGAGTCATCTCTTGAGGTCCCTGTCATTATTGGGCAATTAGTGTTCCCTCCCGTGGAGAAGCAAATGACATGCACTGACATGCACACTTGGCAAAGCACAGGAGAAAAGATTGTTATGAAAGATTCAAGCAACCCATCCTGTGCTTCAGATTCTTAAACATCCAGGAAATAAAACAGTGGCCTATGCAGATTCTGTAACCTGGCATTAAAAGCAACCTGTGCAAATTGGACCAAGATTGGGTCTCCTGATGTTCTCGGACCTTCTCTGGACCTCAGCAACTCATGACATCCAAAGATCATGCTTCTTGGTAGATCCTGGTTATTCCAATTAGGCTTTGATTCAACCCTATAGGTTGGTTCTCTCGGACCAAAGTTTGTACTTGCTGCCATCAATTACAGGATCATTCCATTCCTTCCTCTGGATCCTTCTCCCTAAATGCCATTTCTTCCCCATCATTTCTCCCCAAAAAAGGAAGAGCCCATTTTCAATATGTGCATTTGAATGTTCTGATGTACCTCAAAGAATAGCAAAAGAAGAGCTCGCCAAGCGTTTGCAGCGTGAGATTCCCGTCAGGTACAGATTTTCAGGTCTACCTAGTTCACATTTTCCCCCAGGGCTGTTCTACACAATATTGCAAGTCCTTTCCTATTTATCAAGAGAGAAAGTTGCAGTGAGGACAAAGATAACCTTGCACATATGTCAGCAGAGAAGCACCTGCAAGCTTCGGCAGTGCACCAAATTTGCAAATGCTTAAATCAAAAGAAACAGGCTAGCTTTGTGCTCTGCTGGAGAAGGGAGAAAGGAGGACAAGCTAGGGAGAAAAATCCTTGAAGAAAGGAAAAAAGGATGAATCTCCAAGGCTCTTCCGTCCCCTGTGAGCTCTTCGGGATTCCTCCACATCCTTCAGGATTGTTGTGCACGACACAACTTTATATGGGAGCCACAATGTGTGTTTCTTCTTGGATCTCCACCAGTCATGACCTCCAAAGCTCATGCTTCTTGGTAGGTCCTTCTGCCAGTACAGTTTGTACATTCTTGGATCTCCACCAGTCATGACCTCCAAAGCTCATGCTTCTTGGTAGGTCCTTCTGCCAGTACAGTTTGTACATTCTTGGATCTCCACCAGTCATGACCTCCAAAGCTCATGCTTCTTGGTAGGTCCTTCTGCCAGTACAGTTTGTACATTCTTGGATCTCCACCAGTCATGACCTCCAAAGCTCATGCTTCTTGGTAGGTCCTTCTGCCAGTACAGTTTGTACATTCTTGGATCTCCACCAGTCAT